AGCCTTGATGGTTCCCTTGCCAGAGATAGAGGCAAGAGAACCATCAGCTAGGGTGATTTTGTCACATCCAGGAAGTTTAAATCATATGAAACAAACAAGGTAGAAAGGTTGGTCATATGATCAGAAGCACCTGAATCAATAATCCAAGGGATCCTACGATTACCTGAAATGGTTGCATGATTGAAAAAAGCCCGTATACCTGAATGAGCAAATGCAAAAGAGGCTGAATTTTCTAAAGGGTTGGAAGAAGAAGTCACACCCTCTAGGTGACTGATCATCCTCCCAAACTTCTCATATTCTGCTTTCATGGCTGCTAACTGCTTACTAGCTGTCATCTCTTCAGTATGATACTTGTCACTATCTGGACCAGCAGCAGCATTAGCACTCCCTGCCCTTTTATTATCATGCTTCTTCTGAAACCAAAGAGGTAGAAGCTCAGGATGTAATTTCAGCACTTGTCTTTAGTGTGTTTTGGCCTTTTACAGTACTCACAGACAAACTCTTTCTTCCTTGAGCCACTAGGAGTCCCTGCAACCCCTTTGGGTTTCACTCCCATATTAGCAAAGTGATCATTTAGACCAGCCCCTTGAACCTGGACAATCCTTCTGCTCTCTTCACTACTTACCAAGGCATATGCTTGTGAAGTGAGACACTATCCTTGGATAAAATATTTTGTTTTATAATATCATACTCTGGGTTTAGTCCAGTTTAGAACTCAAACACCTTGTTTCACTCAACTAGTTTTCTATAGGTATCTGCATCATTAGTGGTGTCCCAGGTTACAACTTCTATCAAATCTATTTCTCCCCCTGTCTTAAATTCTTCACATCACTTCTCAACTTGTAAGCTCTAGCCACATTTAATTTTTGGGAATAGGTTTCAGCAACACTATCCCGGATTTCCTTTGCTGAATTCATCCACAAATAGTGCTTGACTAATCTGTGGCTGCATTGAGTTCACAAGCCACCCAATAACAGTATAATTTTCTTGCACCCACTTCTCATAAGATGGATCATCTTCTGAGGGAGCCTTTTTTCTCCCGGAGATAAAACCCCACTTTCCTCTACTACAGATATGAACCTTTACCGATTGTAACCATGCCAGATAATTAGTTCCATCCAGCTTGACTGTGGTCATAGTCAGTAAAGAGTCAACAGAGGCTCCCGGAACCTGCCCGGATTCAGCAACATTCTTGTTTTCAATCTCTGAGGAGTTCATCACTTTAAACACTTCAAAAGGATTTCAACCAACTTCAAAAGACACCGAATGAAGATGGAACAAGGACTGTGTTAAGCCTACCTCAATGCAGCAATACCACAAATCTGAGTCACACCCGAAAGCAGGGAGAAACAGAAACAGAAGCCGCACCTTGTAGACTACACGGAACACCAACCAACTTGGTTCGGTCTTCAAGAAAGAAAATCAGAAAACCTCCAAACACTGAGCACCCAGTCCAAATACCCTGCGGAGCTCGCAAACAGATTTCTCCAGGAAACTAGGGTTTCGGGCAGTACATTAGAATCAGCCAAGAAGGCGACACAGTCAGTCCACTTCTCTCTAGAAACCACTAACAACTGGGCAGAACCGAGACCTTTAACAGTCCGTACGGTTCAGTTCTCCATACACACTGTGTATGGAAAAAAAAAGGTGAAAAAGAGGGAAAAACGAGCCTGCTCTGATACCAAGAAGAAAAACAGTCTTTTGAGAATAAAGGACGTTTAGAACAGATGCAGAAATCAAAATAAAACAACAGAAATCATTCTTCTAAGGAAGAGAAGATGAAGAAGAAGATGGCGGCAATAAGGGTTCAGAGAAAGAGAGTTTCGAACCTTAATCTCTCCTCTTACACCCCTAACACTATTTTATTAAGTTAAACTTTAATAATTTACAAAGAGGCCCTTAGTTGGGCAAGAAATTAAAAGAACATAACATAGAAAGAATAGGCCCAGAATAAGGTCCATTACAGCAAAGAACATAAAAGATAAGAAAGGATAAACAGCCTATGGGCCATTCGGCCCATCTTCTCTACAAAATCAAAAGCACCAGAGACTCACATTCATTTTCCCCCAACCCTCTTCTAAAACCAAAATCCCAAGAGATCCTTAAATCTGAAAGCACATCAAACCTAGCAACAGGTTTGTTTTTATGGTTTGATAAGGAGTAGAGGTCTGGGAATTTGACCATAAGAGGCACATCCCCAACCCAAAGGTCTTCCCAAAATAAAACTTTGTTGCCACAATCAACATCAAACCTGATAAATTGAAGAAAGGTTGGATATACCTCAAAGATTGCCTCCAAGGAGAAATTGGAGCTGCATTGGGGGCTAGTTTTGCATCCCAGCCGTTATTTGCTTCACCATGAATGCTTTTAGTGACCCTATGCCACAACCTATCTTCTTCACAAGGGAATCTCCACAACCATTTCCCTAGAAGGGCCTTGTTTTTCTTTAATAGATTCCTTATACCTAATCCACCATGTTCCTTAGGGTAACAAACTTGCTCCTACTTCACTAAATGATCTTTCTTTTCATCACCTGGTTCCCACAAAAAGTCCCTCATAATCTTCTCCAACTTCCTAGCTATTTTCACCGGGATCTTAAAGGTGGAGAGGAAATAAGTGGGTAGGTTTGCTAGGGTTGATTTTATCAAGGTGATTCTTCCCCCCAAGGATATATAATTTCTCTTCCACATTGCCAACTTCTTTGTGAACCTCTCTACCATCGGTTTCCAGAAGCTTTCAGCTTTCAGATGGGCCCAAGGGCATACCTAAATATTCTAGAGGCCAATTTTTCACTTCACATCCTAGCAAATTTTCCATGGCTTGGATGTCCCCCCCCCCCTTCAATGTTGATTCCAGCTACACAGTTTTTTCCCCAATTGACTTTCAGTTTGGAGGCCTGTTGAAATTCATCTACCAATCTTTTCAAATTCCTTAAACTGGATTCATCACAACTTTCACAGAAAATGACTATGTCATCAGCAAATTGCAAACGAGACACCACCACTTCTGATCTACACAGGACCAGTTATTAATACAATCATACTTTACCTTCTTTCAAAAAAAATGCTAAAAAAGTTTCAAAATGCCAAAAAATGTCAACATATATTAATTAAACATATAAATTTAAATTTTAAAATAAATGTTTGAAAAGGCCTATTATCTCAAATTAAAATAACATGTAAAACATATTTAAAATGAAATTTAAAAATAAAATCAAGCATAACATATAAAACATATTCAAACATGTAAAACTCACAATCTCTTTATTTTTCCCCTATTGCATTACTTCAAATAGCTAATGTTATTAAACATTATGCATTTCTGATTTTACGAGCTGCTTTTGTACCAAACCCTCAAGGCAAGCCCAAACAAGTCCATATTAGGGTCATAAATTCTTAATCCCTATAAAAAAGATTTTATAATTTTCATTGTCTTTTAAAAATATCTTTTATTAGGATGAATGAATAAGCAATATTAGCAAATATTAGACTTTTGGAGCGTCGGCGGACTTGTTAGGGTTTGGTCAGGGCATGGCACATACCCTAAAATGCGCCTTTTAAATCACTAGTTCATCCTGTCAATTGAAATTTGATGTAGGCCTACCCCCCCCCCAAATCCAGTGCTTTTTGTGGAGAAGTTTACTGTGGGAAGCTACATACATTGGATAGTTTGCAAAAACAGAGACCCTTTCTTTGTGCATCCACTAACCAGTGCATTCTATGCAAATCTAATAGTAAGAGTTGTTGCCACCTACCTCTATTCATTTGTTACATGCATTTGGGAATGATTTTTCTCCTTCTTTGGGTGTAGATAGAACTTGCCAACAAAGCTCAACACTTTGTTTAACTTGGATATATTTGTTTGGCCTAGAAAAAGGGGTAGAATCTAGTGGAGATGTACTAAGGCAGCATTGTTGTGTACTATTTGGGGTGGGGAATTTACTAATTGAAGGAGATTCTAAGATGGTTGTGGAGTGGCTATCAGATCTGGATTCTGTTATTTGGTGTTATAGGGATCTTCTAAATAAAGTTACTTGGCTAACGAGTAATAAGGGATATGACAGTTAGATTTCAATGAGTGAGCAGATCAGCAAGTGTAATAGCAAACTATTTTGCTAAACAAGGGGCCAATCAGAAACTGTTATTTTGGGCTGCTTTGTAATTGTGTACTCTTTGAGAAAGTGTTATTTTGAAGGGAGATCGAATCTCACACCTCTCTTTAGGCTGATTGTAAAGCTTTTTCTCCAATTCATAAAATCTTCATTCAATTATCAAAAAAAAAAAAATTGTTGTGGACTATTTAAGGAATGTCAAAATTTTTTTACAGAGAGAAGTGTATAAGCAATGATAGAATGTGTAATGACCAGCAACATGACCTTAAGAATACAATGAACTAGAAGATCATCTAATGGATTGGCTGACACTTAAGCCAAGCAAGGGGTCAATAGGTATCATCTATATAGGGCTCAGTTCTAACCTGTTTTTATGTTGTTATGTGAGAGGCTGCATCTCCTAAGGAGGAATGTACTGATTGTATATATTGTTGTTTATTAATAAAATTCACTACTATTACCTATCAAAAAACATAGATCTAATAAAAATGGCAGCATCTCCTGGGGCTTTGAGGATTGGTTACTAGGAGACCTTGGACTGCTGCTTGGCCAGTTTCGGTTCTACTATGGCTGGGCGTTTTGCCTGGTTGGGGCTTGGTTTCAAGGGGAAGGTTTTCTAAGCTGTAGCTGGTTCTTGTTGGGTTGTGAATGTCTAAGGAGAACTTTGCCATTTTTTCCTTTTTTCCTTTTTGTTTCTTGGGTAGGTTTCATACCCCCTCTTTCATTCTTATTTTCTTTTCTTTCATTATCTCTTTTCCTTTTGGGCATGCTTCCTGTAAAAGCTTTTACAATTAATATATTTCTGTTACTGATAAAAGATCATAAACAATTCTAGAGCCATAAAAGTGATTACAAGGAAACAAAACATGTGATAACAAAGAAGCAATACCAGTTGCCATTCACTTGAGCCTGCACCAGAGTGCACAAATGTAATCCATAACCAGTGATATCAACTTTCAATGGTTCTCCATTCTTTTCACCAGGAACACCACTCCATCCAAGAGGAACAATTGATGTGGCAGTCCTTATAACAGGGGATTCTACTATATGGCCAAGCTCTACAGCACCAGCAATTGTAAGGCCAAGCCATTGTTGTAAATGTGGAAACTGTGGCAATTGTTCCATTCCTAAGAACAGAGAAGCAGTACCACACATGCACAACTCATAGATTCTGCAAAGAAAAGGAATCAATCATAATAAAACACAATAATGAATATATATATGAGCAGTCAGCAGACATAGCTTGCCTGTAACAACCTGCATCAAGAATAAAAGAACAACTCGATTGCAAAATTTGAATCAATACTTGGTCAATTTTAGGATCCTGACCTCAATAACCAAGATTTTGTTTAGATGTCCATTATTTTTTTTCTAAATTTAACATAATATTTTCTTTCTTTTGAATGGTATAATTATATTAATAAGAAGAGAAGGAAATTCCCCCAAAAAGAAGATGCAAGAAAAGAGGAGAAAGGCTGAGACACAGAATGACTACAATACAAGATTACATGTAAGTTGTAACATAAAATTTTTTTATGTATAATTACACACATGAAGATGTCAAAAAGCCCAAGCCTAGAACAGGAACTAGAAGATTTTTGTGAATAAATGTAGACCTCTGCAAAGAATTTAAAGGATATCAGTTCCTTTATCACTGAAGGGCTTTGGTGCTCAACAAATTCAACAGTGTGACTTGAGATTTTGATAACGAGTAGAATGAATTGACTAGAAAGATCTATATAATTCACTTTCACTTCACATTCCTTTTTATTTTCTTTTTCTTTTCTTCTTATTAGTTTTTTTTTTTTGGTTTGAAGGAGCTAAAATGGTGAAGACAACATGCTTTTTTTTTCTTTTCTTTTCTTTTCTTTTTTTTTTTTTTTTTTTTTG